AGGGACTTTTTTAAATGTCAAAACTTTAGGAAACTTAATACATTTCTAAATAACCTATGGATCAAAGGGGGAAAAAAAACAAAAGGAAATACTTGAAGTATTTTGAACTAAAGAAAAATGACAGCATAATACATACAAATTTATGGAATGTTGCTAAGACAGTACTTAGGGAAATTCATAGCACTGTAATGCCTATATTAGAAAAGCTAGTTCTCAAATCAACGATCTTAGTTTCCACATTTATAAAAAAAAAACTTAGACAAGCTGGTGTAAACAAAGCCTAAAGCCAGCACAAGGGAGAAAAGAAACAAAGGTTAGAGCACAGAGTGTAAATCAATCAGAAAGAAAGCAGAGAGACAGGGACAGAATAAAGCCTAAAGCTGGCCTGTGAGAAGACTAATAAGACCAGTAAAGCTCTAGCCAGGAGGAGTAGGTGAAAAAGAGAGGACACAAAGTGTCAATAATAAAAATCAGAAAGGAAATATCACAGCAGATTCTATAAAAGGGTGAAAAAGGAAGTATTCCGAACAACTTAGTACCAATAAATTTAACAAACAAACAATTCCTTGAAAGACACAACCTACTAAAACTCAAAGAAAAAGATAAACGAATAGCTGATACCACCTAAAGAAACTGAATTTATAGTTTAAAAATTTTAGCTAAAAAGAAAAAAATAAAGCAAGCAGACTCACATGGCTTCACAAGTGAATTCTACCAATATTTAAGAAATATTATGAATTGAACACAAGGATTTCTACAAAATTGAAGAGGGGGGAAATCAGGCAGAGGACAAGTATTAAAATTATACCGAAATGAGACTAGCTATTAAAAGAAACAAAGACAAATATGAAAACTCATAAAAACTTAGCCAATCATATCAAATAACATTAAAAATAATAATACATCATAGCCAAGAGGAGTTTATCCCCCAGATGTGAGGTTGGCATAATCTTTGAAAAACGTGAAAATCAATCAAAACAACTCACTATATCAAACTAGAAGACACACATCTCCACAGACACAGAAAAATCATTTGACAAAATCTAACTTCCATTACTAAGCAGGAATAAAAATGAACTTATTCAAGCCAACAGAAAGAAAAGTCTTTGAGAAACGATAGTTAACGTCATCCTTATGATGAAAGTCTTCCCCTCGAAGATCAGCAGCAAGGCAAACATGTTTGCTCTTTCCTCTTCCATTCAACACTACACTGGAGATTCTAGCTGGGGAAGTTAGGCAAGGAAAAAGAAAAAAAAAACCCTCTAGATTGAAAAGGAAAATCATCTTTGTCCACAGCTAACAGGATCCTGTGGGGGGAGTCCTGAATAGCTACTGACTCTTCATAAGGATGATGTGACCACCTGAAAAGATCATTATGTAGTTAACTGGCTCTACTCCAATATAAAAAAAGTTCAAAATATTAAGAAAGATTAATATTAAAAATATTTTAAACAGAGGGATGCGACAGCAAGTTTTTCCACTTGTGGCCATTATGCCAGAAGCTTAGTTTGGATACAAGCTTTATGGACTTACAAAATTGTTTTATGGCAAACCTAACCATGTGTTTAATCAACTAAAAGCATTCAGAATAATATGCAATAGGAAAGGAAAACCTGTGTATTTTGCATTCAAGAACTTACTATTCCATGCTATCAAGAAACATTCTGAATTACTAACTTCAGTTCAATAAGCTAAAATTAGTTTGGTTGTTTTCAGCATACATGTTATAAATAAAACTCAACCGACTACTGTCCAAATTAGTCCAAGTTAATTTAAAACAAATATTGTTCCTGCAACACAGAAGAGAATAAAATGCGTTTGACATTTAGGATATACTGCAAAAGAAAAAATTATTTAACTAAAATGAAAGTGAAAGTCATTCAGTCGTGTCCAACTCTTTGCAACTCCATGGCCAGAATACTGGAATTCTCTGGGCCAGAATACTTGAGTGGGTAGCCTTTCCCTTCTCCAGGGGATCTTCCCAACCCAGGGATCGAACCCAGGTCTCCCAGATTGCAGGTGGATTCTTTACCAACTGAGCTATCAGGGAAGCCCAGCAAAAATGACGCTCTATTAGTGTTACTAATGAATGCTATACTTTACATTAGATAACATAAATCAGTGTTCCTTCGATATAAATTCTAACATTGAAAAGTGAAAGTATTTTGTGTAATCCATACAGCAGGGGTCAGGAGTCTGGAACGTCAGTATGAACCCAGGCTGCCTGTTGATCTACTACTGTTGCTGAACCTCCAGATGCAGTCACTGAACCCTGGATTCTACATCAATTCCCCATCAAATCCAGGATTTAACCTTGACTTAACTGCAGGAACTACTGCCAGGTGCTGTCTCCTCCAGGGCCTTGTCTTCTTAGGGTGGAGCCTATGTGTTGGACTAGTTTTCAAATAGCTTCTCCAAGACCTCCCAATTCCTAAAGTAAGGACTCTAAAGGCCAGAGCCCCAGCAGCTCCTAGAGCCCATTCCAGAAATGGCCTGGTGTGGCCTCCCAAGATAAACCACGGTTCTGACATAAAACCTGTAAATGCTGGAAGAATCTGCCCACACATCACCCTTATAAAGAGTAAATAACCTCACGCATACACAAACGATCCCCATTTCCATGATAAATGTAGAAGCAGTCTGAAAATCAGGTTTTCAAAAGTAAAGTTTTATACTTTTTCATATAAACACGAGTATAAAGACATTTGTGATTATAAAAAGGGAAATTTACATACGTCTCATGCATTTACATAGTTACATAAGAACTTATTTTACAAGTACATACTCTATACATTATAAATTGATTTAATGAGAGCAATCAAATTCTTGAAAATAGGCACACACTATCACTAACACCTTTAGAAAGGAAATATATTAATAAATAAGCTCACATATTTTAACAGGAGACTCAGTCCAATAATACACTTCTTAAATCAATTAAAGCTACAGTCTTCAGATTTTCTGGTTTCCTTATTACCAACACAATAAATGGAGTTTTATCTTTACCAAAAGTAATAAAGAACAATTACTACCTGTGAATAATCTCTGATAACATAAACATAAGGTACAAGAACTATTTAAAATTTATGATACCAAAATTAGATTTCATTTTTTAAACAAAAATAAACTATCATTAAAAGTAGGTATCAAAGACTTGGGAGTAATAATGTATTTCTTTTCCTAACTAATTATTCTCCAACAGATATAGACGTAGTATGAAATACTTCACATAGATGGACTACAATATAAACGAATAAGTCAGCACTTGCTCTGGGTGAATTCAAATATGGATATTTATACTACAGGAAATTTGAGAATGCTAGCCAAGCATTAGGTAATGAACTTTATAAAACTTACTGTTTGACAGACTGAGCAGTAATGCTCAACATACAAATCTATTTTTAAATTACTCTTGGTGGCTTAGCAAAGGCTACATTTTGAAAAAGGAGACTTGAGGTTCCCAAGTTAGAACATCAACCAGAAATGGCTAAGTTCCTTGAATGTTTGAATCTCAACAACTTAAAGATAGCAAACAATGCTCAGTAAATATTTCTTGATTACATAAAGCACTCTTTAAAACAAAAAAGGAATAATACTTAGGTATATGAAGTTTGAAAATTATGAAATGATAATCATACTACATTTGGAACTTGCATCCAAGACTGACTGCAAAGTCTGATTTTTCCACTATTGAACTTCTTGTTTTCTTCACTTAAATAACTTACATAACTTAACTACAAAAGCATTTTAAAAGATAAATTTGCATTTAAAAGAGATCAGGGTCTCAAAATGTTGGTTGAGGCACAAGAAAAAATAAGTAAAAATGAGCAAACTGTGAATATTAATTCATCTTCCCTAAAAGAGCAGCAGAAACCCTGCAAGAAACAGGAATGTGAGAAAACAATGTGGGGGGTAGAGGCAGGGTGAGAAAGAGATGCCAAGGAGATGCTTTGGGGAGTCCTGGGAGACGGAGGGCAAGGGGGAGAAGGCAGGGAGGCAGGGCAGGGAGGGGGAAGGGAGGAGAGGAGGAAAGCAGGGAACAGCAGGAGGAAGAGGGAAGGGGAGGCAGAAAGGCCAGAAACAAGGAAGGGAGAGCGGGAGCTCGCTTTGAAATCCCTCTCTCTTCTAGTCTACTGGGAATAACAAGAACACCCCACTCTCACTGTGCAAAATATATCTAAACACGGGAGCTATTTATCTCCTTTACCTCAACAACACAAGAGAAGAACACACAAGCAGAAGACAAAGAGAGAAGACAGTAATAAAAGAGAAAGATAAGGTACATAGTGAAACTTTTTCAGAGCTGCTTGTTGCTTAGCGGCTCAGCGTGCGTGACTGGCGCACACAAGGTCTATAGCCCACCAGGCTCCTCTGTCCACAGAATCATCCAGGCAAGAATGCTGGAGTCGGTTCCCATTTCCTCCCCCAAAAGAGCTGCTAATAATGCTGATAGAAAAATGCTGAAGAAAAAAAAACTTTATAATTAAAAAATCTAAATATGAAGACTATTTAGTCACATTTACAACTATAACCAGAAATCTCTGTTAAAAACATAACGTTTCTCTTTCCATTTTACTTCCAAAGCATATTATAAAAATTTTAGGACAACAAAAATCAAGCTATAAAAGCAAAACTAAGCTATCAAATGACTTGTGATTTTAATGGTACTTAAATATAGGTAAAAAGAGGATCAATAAAGTCTTCTAAACAAATATGACTTTATTTTTCTTATTTAACATTAAATAAGTAAGTCTGAAGGCTGAGGGAAAATTTTAAACATTCTTTGCACTCTACCACAAGTACTACATAATTCTATTTAGTATGAACTACTCAAGAATAGTTTCCACCTCAAAAAGAAAACATTATTCAGTTTGATAATTTGATAATTTACCTATATGTTAATCGGTCTAAGTGGACTCATTCCACCACTTATAAAGATAACTTTCAAATGATAAAAATAAAAGTCACTACAATAAACATTGCTCCTAATTGTGCCATACCTTTAGCTACAGCTTCTTTATATTTCTCTTTGGCGGAATTCATTTCTTTTATTAATTGTCTATAGCTGGTTTTTAATTTCTCTAATTCTGTCTTTGTAACCTGTCAAAAAAAAAAAAGAAATTAAAAACGATTTTTAAATGCTTAAATTTACATCTGTCAAGAACTTAAATTTCAAAACATTAACTGATGCACCTTTTACTGCTTGTGAGTCAGAAGTGCTCTTTAATATATAAACAACAAACTAAAATTAGCTTAGAAATTGGTGATAAATTCAAAAGCATATGAAAAAAATTAAAACATTTCTTAAAAAGAAGAGCAAATCATAAACTAGTGCTGTCATTACCTAAAATTTAAAGGCCAATAATTTATTTCTATGCACAGAAATATTTTCTCTAATAAAAAAGCTAATTTAAAACTCTTATTTTAATCATACTGAATAACTCCGAGCTGTCATAATTCATCATTTCTAATGTGATGAATGTGAATTCATTCAGTTCTAATGTGAATTTTTTTTTGCACTGTAACATCTCTGAAAAGATGCATCTAATTACTGTTGACCAGGCAGCATTCATGACGGTGGTCACGGCATGCACACATTAACTTGGTTATTATTCCTGCAGAAAGGCTTGACAAACCCAAGTCCTGGACTCTGCAGTCAGCCATAAAAAGCATTCAAGAAAAAATTGAGAATCTTAGATGGTATCTGAAAAACAACTAATGAGACTTTTGAGAAGAGTTAAGAAATCAGCAGCATTAAAAACTTACTAAAGGGACATAAGCAACTTGGAAGAAAGTCTCAGAGCCTACTTTAAACAAATTCTGCATCACCAAGGTTCTTGACAGCGTGGAGGATGGCACTGCGTAAGTTAACAAAAAATGTCAACAACTATGATAGATATGTGCTAATTCACTTCAGTCGTGTCCGACTCGTTGTGATTCTATGATTTGTAGACCACCAGGCACCTCTGTCCATGGGATTCTCCAGGCAAGAAGATTAGAGGGGGTTGCCATGCCCTCTTCCAGGGGATCTTCGCAACCCAGGGATCGAACCCACATCTCTTATATCTCCTGCACTGGCAAGAGGGTTCTTACCACTAGCGCCACCTGGGAAGCCCCATAATATATAGATACCATTTGTCATTTAGTCGTGTCCAACTCTTGCAACCCCATGCACTGTAGCCCACCCGGTTTCTCTATCCATGGAATTTCCCAGGCAAGAACACTGCAGTGGGTCGCCGTCTCCTTCTCCAGGGGATCTTCCTGACGCAGGGATCGAACCTGCATCTCCTGCACTGTAGGCGGATTCTTTACAGACTGAGCCAGCAGGGAAGCCCATGATACAGGTGCAGATAGAAGTGACTTCAAATCCTTTCTTTTTAAAAGAAGACCTCACTGGTTAACGTGTCTTAATGGGCTTTACCTTTTAGAGCAGTTTTAGCATCACAGCAAAACTGAGCACAAAGTACAGAAAGTGAAAGTGAAGTGAAGTCGCTCAGTCGTGTCCGACTCTTTGCGACCCCATGGACTGTAGCCCACCAGGCCCCTCCCTCCATGGGATTCTCCAGGCAAGAACACTGGAGTGGGTTACCATTTCCTTCTCCAGGGGATCTTCCTGACCCAGGGATCGAACCTGGGTCTCTCACACTGCAGGCAGATGCTTTTCCCTGAGCCACCAGGGAAGCCCTGGTGTACAAAGTACAGAGATTTCCCATTTGTCCCTTATCCCTACTCGTGCACGGCCTCATTGATTATCAACATACTCGAGTTTATTTGTACATTTGTTACAACTGATGCACCTATAAGAACATGTCATTATTGCACAAGTGCACAGCTTACATTAAGTTCCACTCGTGGTGTATATTTTATGGTCTTGAACAAACATACAATGACATGTATCCCACCGCTACAGGACCACACGCTGTGGTTTCACCATCATAAAACCTTCGGTGTTCCACCTGTTCAGGAACCTCTAGGAACCAATCATCTCTTCACTACCTTGGTAGTTTTGACTTTTCGAGAACATGATGTAGAATCATATATACTTTTCAGACTGGCTTCCTTCACTTGGTGGGCTTCCCCGGTGGCTCAGATGGTGAAGAATCTGCCCACACTGTGGGAGGCCTGGGTTCACCATGGACAGAAGAGCCTGGCGGGCTACAGTCCACGGGGTTGCAGAGACTCAGACACAACTGAGCAACCAACACTTTCACTTTCTTTCACTTGGTAATATACATTTAAGGTTCCTCCATATCTTTCTTGGTAGCTCACTTCCTTTGAGTGCTCAATAATATTCCATTGTCTGGATGCACCACAGTTTATCCATTCATTACTAAAAGATATCTTGGTGGCATCTAAGTTTTGACAATTACGAATAAAGCTGTTATAAACTGCTATGTGTGGGCTTTAGTGTAGACATATGTTCTCAACTCCTTTGGATAAATACCAAGGAGCTCAATTTTTGGAACCTATGGTAAGACTATTTTTATTTTTGTAAAACACAACCAAACTGTCTTCCAAAGTGGCTGAATTATTTTGCAATCCCACCAGCAATGAATGAGAGTTCCTGTTGCTCCATAACCTGACCAGTATTTGATGTTCTGGACTTGGGGCATTCTAATTTGGGACAGTGGTATCTCATTGGTCCTTTATTTGCATTTCCCTGATGGCATAAAATTTGAACAAATTTTTATCTGCTTATTTACCATCTGTATATCTTCTTTGGTGATATGTTTATTTTTTCATAAGGTTGCTTCTTTTCTTAGTAGACTTATTAGAGTTCTTTGTGTATTTTAGATAACAGTCCTTTATCAAGTGTCTTTGCAAACTTTCTGTCCCGGTTTACCAGTTCATCGTCTCATTCCTCTGATATTGTATTTTGTAGAAGTGGGTTTTGGGGGGTTTTTTTGAGGAGAATCTGTGTGTGTGTGTGTGTGTGTGTATTTGGAGCAGGCAAGAAATATGGACACTTCCCTCTGCATGACTGCCCAATGCAATTTACTGCTCTGGTCTCAGGAAATTGAACATTTGTCCATTTTGTGCACCTTTAAACTGATGTATCCCAATCACATCTGTTGTTGAAACCTGTCTGAAAATTTTGCCAACCTGGTTCATTTTATCTTGAGTATCAGGCTGCTTTCAGTTCATTGTTTCTTTTAAATTTATGAAGTCATTAAATAGTTTATACTTGCTTATAGACTACCCAGAGTGTGCTTGAGACCCGCATGAGTTTCACTTTCAATGCTCTTCCTTTCCTCTTAATTCTGTACTGAAGATGCCACACCCCTGGAAACTAGAGTCACAGCTTTGTACTTTGACTCACATCAAAGTAAGTAAAAATAAGTAAAACTTCTCTGAATGAAAACTCAAGTAGTTCCTTTGCTGTATGCCACACATGTCACACACATTTCTGCAGAGTTATAATTTTTTAAGAAAAGAAAGAAAAGAGGGAATTCCCTGGCAGTCCTGTGGTTAGGACTCTGTGCTCTCACTGCTGAGGGTCTGGGTTCAATCCCTGGCTGGTGAACTAACATCCCACAAGCTGTATGGTACAGCCAAAAATAAACATTTTTAAAAAGAAAGAGAGACAGAAAGGAAGGATGGAAAAGATACCAGAAGTCTTCAATTTTGATGAATTCCAGCTTATCAATCATTTCTTCATGGTTCATACCTTTGGTGTTATATCTAAAAAATCATCTCCATACCCAAGGTTATCTAGGTTTTCTCCTATTTATCTTCTAGGTGTTTTACAGTTTTAAATTTTACACTTAGGCCTGTGATCCATTTTGAGTTAACTTTGTGATTGGTGTAAAGTCTGTGTATAGACTCATTATGTTCACAATTTTCTGTCCCTGTTCCAGCACCATTTGTTGAATATATTAACTGCTCTCCCCTGTGTTGACTTTGCCCCTTTTTTTCAAAGATCAGTCAACTGGATTTATGTGACTCTAGTCTGGACTCTCTATATTCTGTTTCACTGACCTATTTGTTTATCGGTTTATTGTCTTTCACAAATACCAAACTCTCTTGATTACTGTGTCTTTATAATAAATCTGGAAGTCACATAATGTCAGTCTTCCAATTTTGTTCTCCAATATTCTGTTGCCTATTCTGGGTCTTTTGCTTCTCCATATGAATTTTAGAATCAGTTCAGCATTTGCTGAGATTTTGATTGGGCTGTGTATTAAATCTCTAGTGCAAAATGGGAAAAGCTGGTATCCTGACAACATTGAGGACACAGGACGATCACTCCTTAATTGATTTCTCTCATCAGACCTCTGTCATTGTTCTCCTACAGATCATGTACATACTTTGTTAGATTTATACCTAAGTATTTCATTTTTTGAGGTTCTAATGTAGATGGTATTGTGCTTTTAATTTCATATTCCACCTGTTCATTGTTAATGCATAGGGAAGTGATTGACTTCTATATGCTAACACTGTATCCTGCAAAGTGAAGTCACTCAGTTGTGTCCGACTCTTTGCAACCTCATGGACTGTGGCCCACCAGGCTGTCCATGGGATTTTTCAGGCACAAATAATGGAGTGGGCTGCCATTTCCTGCAAACTTGCTATAACTGATTGTTTCAAGAGTTTTTGGTGATTCTATTGGATTATCTACATAAACAATCATGTCATTTGTAAACAATGACATTCATTCCCAATCTGTATACATTTTATTTCTTGCCCTGGTCTTGTTTCACTAGTTAAGATTTACAGGATGTTTTTAACAAGCAGTGGTAAGGCGGGGGACATCCATGTCTTGCTCTGATCTTAGTGGGAAAGTTACATGTTTCTCACATTTATGTATGATGTTAGCTGGAAGTTTTTTGTAGACATCCTTTATCAAGTTGGGGAAGTTCACCTTTATTCCTAGTTTACCTGAGAGTTTTTAATCACAAATTGGTGGTATATTTTGTCAAATGCTTTCTCTGCATCTGTTCATATGCTCATGTAATTTTTCTTTTTAGTTCGTTGATATAATGGATTCCATTGATTGATTTTCAAATATTGAACCAAACTTTCACACCTGAAATAAACTCCACTTAGTCAAGGTGTGTAAATTCTTTTTCTACGCTGTTGGATTTTATTTCTCAACAGTTCAAGGATTTTTGCATCTATGTTCATGAGAGACATTGGTCTATAGTTTCCTAATATCTTTGTCTGCTTTTGGTGTTTGATAACACTAGCATCTTAGAATGGAACTGTGGCTCAGCTGGTAAAGAATCTGCCTGCAATGAGGGAGACCTGGGTTCGATCCCTGGGTTGGGAAGATCCCCTGGAGAAGGGAACGGCTACCCACTCCAGTATTCTGGCCTAGAGAATTCCATGGGCTGTATAGGCCATGGGGTCGCAAAGAGTCAGACACGACTGAGTGACTTTTGCTTCTCTGTCTCTTTTTCCGAGGTAAGATTGTAGAAAAGTGGTGCAATTTCTTCCTTACATGTTTGACAGAATTCACCAGTGAAGGCACCTGAACTTGAAGCTGTCTGGGCCACGGTGCTTTCTGTTTTGGAAGGTTATTGATGATCGATTCCATTACTTTACATGGAATGTAAAATGTAGATACATGCCTGTTCAGACTGTCCATCTCTTCTTGTGTGAGTTTCAGCAGACTGTGTCCTTCAAGGCATGCTCCCATTTTTCCCAGCTTATCAAATTTATGGACACAGGGTTGATTAAAGAGTATTCCTTCATTATCCTTTTAATATCCATGGGATGTATAGTGATGTCCCCTCTTTCACTTCTGATATTAGTAATTTGTACCCACACTGGTTTTTTTGTTAGCCTGGCTAGAGGCTTGTTGATTTTATTCACCTTCTCGAAGAATCAGATTTTGGTTTTGTTGACTTTTCTCAATTAGTTTCATGTTTTCACTTTCACTGAGTTCTACTCTAATTTTCATTATTTCTTTTCTTCTGTGTCCTTTGGATTCAATTTGCTCTTCTTTTTCTATTGCCCTAAGGCAGAAGCATAGATGATTGATTTTAGATCTTTCTTCCTAACAAATGCAGTCCAAGCTATAAATTTCCCTCTAAGCACTGCTTTTGCTATATCCCACACATTTTGATAAGTTTTCTTTTCTGTTTCATTGAGTTCAAAATATTTTTAAATTTTTCTTGAGATTTCTTCCTTGGTCCATGGGTTATTTAGAAGTGTGTTGTTTAATCTCCAAGTATTTGGGGATTTTCTAGCTATCTTACTGTATCAATTCCAATCTTTTAAATATATTTTGATGTAGTCTATGACCTTGAATGTGGAATATCTTGCTGAATTGTCCCATATAAGCTTGAGAAGAATGTGTATTCCCCTGTTTTTGTGTGAAGTAGTCAACAGATATTCATCCTACCGAGCTGACTGATGACATGATTGAGTTCACTCTGTCCTTACTCACTTTCTGTCTGCTGCATCTGTCCATTTCCGATGGGGGTGGGGGAAAGGAACCGAAACCTCCAACTGTCACGGAGGTCCACTCGTCTCTCCCTACAATTTTAACAGTTTTTGCAGCCCTACCAATATTTGACGCTATGCTGTTAAGCACACGTACATTAAGGATTGTACTCTCTTCCTGGAGAAGTGACCCCTTCAACAGTGCGGAACTCTCCTCTTTGTCCCTGATAAATGTCCTTGCTTTGAAGTTTCTCTTATCTGAAATTAATACAGCTACTCCCACTTTCTTCTGATTAGGGTCAGTATGGTATACCTCTCTCCATCCATTTACTATTAACCTATGTGTGTCTATATATGTAAAGCGGGTTTCTTATAGACAACATACAGTTGTTTCCCTTTCCTCAGGTTACTTAGGCTTTAGCTCAACAGCTTCTTCTGAGGACAGACCTTGTTAAGAACAGAATGCTCTGTCATTCTATGTCAAAATGTTCAAAATGGTTCCCTTCCTCTTCCACTGCCAACATCATGAGATTTTTTTCCCTATAATCACTGTGAGAACCTGTCAGAGGTTCAGGAGGTAAAACTCACAAGTGTGAAGACCCCTAACCGAGTAGCCCCTCCAGGAGTTTTTAACCGTCAAGGCGCCAGAATTTGTCAGTCACAGTTCAGGCTTTTCTACACCTAACACTGGCTCTCAAGTCTGACGCTGCTCTGATAAGCTGTGATTCTCTGTGTTCACTTGTCCATCTCTCCAGTTTGGGGGACAGTCATTTTGCTCTGTGACCTATCTTCTCTAATGGATCTAAGAAGAGTTGCTGATTTTTCCATTTGTTCAGATTTTTATTTGCTGTTAGGATGGAGTGACAACTTCTAAGCTTCTTACATGCTGGATTGAAAAATGGAAGTCTTAACTTCTGAAGTTGCTAAAAAACCAATTCACTGTTCTCAAACTGGCAAATTAATGTCTAAAAGCAAGTATTTATCCTACCTTTCTTATATGATCTATACCTCATGGCAACCAAATAGCTGATACAGGAAAAATTTTTACTGAAAATTCCAGCTAACAATTACATTAGGAATGACAGAAGTAAAATACTGTCATTTTACAACCTCCACTGAACTAATGGATCTAAGCAGTGGACATCAAGTGTTTCATTAGGTGAAAGGCTGAAGAGAAAATTTTTAATAGATTGACCAGGCTGGCAACACTGGAACCTATTAACAGATAATATATACCTCTTGTTATGAAACAAAAGGAAATCTATACCAGCCCAAAATAAACAGCAAGAGTATTATCAAGCCTCTAGATCTAACTTCTAATTTGCCGGAAAATTGAAGGATAAAGGAATACATGAAACTGCATTACAAGATGCTAACAGCAAAATCCAAAATGAAAGAATTCAATTCTACTGAGTAAATTACCCAGTTTCTTTAAATGCATAGCATTTTAAAAGTGGGGTGGCAAGGGGAACCTACAGATTAAAAGAGATTATTCAAAGGCAATGTATTAGCCAGGTTTGGATCATGATTCAAATGAACCAACTGCAAAAATAACACTTAACAATCATTTGAGCACAATCAGGATAATTAATAATATTAAGGAATTATCTTTATTTTTAGGTGAGTTAATGATAACAGTTTTGTTAAAGAGAAAATTTAAAAAAAAAAAACAACTGGAATTTTCTATAAAATATCCATTGTAGAAGAAAGGTAGGTGAGAGTACAGATGAAAAAAACAAACCAAAATATTGACTAGCTGGATGGATAGGCCAATGGGAGTTCATTTAATTATTCTTTCTTCTTTTGTACACTTGCAAATTTTCACAATTAAAACCACTGTAAAAAGTTAGGCAGAAGAGACAGACAGACGCTGGTTGTGAAGAAAATTTAGACGTATCCCAACTAATTTATTTTGGTGGCATTTTTTTTCGTTCATGGGAATATATAATCACATATCTTATAATCAATAATGTTTTCTATTCAACAAAAATAAGATACCAATTATTAGAGACATTGAAATCTATTTCTTACCAGGAAATAGTGACTAAACATTTTTTAAAGTCAAACAGGATACAGCATTTCAGTGAATTTAAAACACACTAAAGAAAGAATCCCAAAGCAGGAAGACAAACCTTGATCATCTCTGCCTCTATCTGCTGATGGACGCCTATGTAACTCTTCTTCACCTGCTGCTTATCTTTGATCATCATGGTGAGCCTGTGCAAGGGCCCAGAATTCAGGTCCTCTGCATGCGTCTTCATGATCCTGCTGAGCTGTTCCGTCTGCTGAATCATAAGTAGCCAAGACTTTTTAAAAAATAAGAAAAAAAATTAGCATTTGTAGTAGAGGCTTCCCTTTAGCTGTGTTCAGGAACTTTAAACATTTAGTTTTACACAACTTATTACATTAATATAAAAATAACAGGTTTCTGGCAATTATGCAATAAGCTGTATGAACATTTTGTATCTAACATCTCTAAACTCAAGTACAAATGCTTCAAAGTTCGGTAAGCAGAGGCTGTGCAGAACGCCACACAGGAATAAGGGGCTCACGGGGAATCCACGCTTGCAGTCTTCATCTTACTGCTTCTTGCTTGTTTCCCGACACTCTGACATGTTGCTTCTGCCCAAGCTTTCCTATTGTCTCAGTAAGGTAACCACTTCCGAACAGTCAAATGCAACAGAAGTTTACCCATCCTCATTCTAACCTGTTTCTCTGAGGCATCTGATCCTACTGGCTCACACTTCTGAAACTCTCCTTGTTGGTTTCTGTCGCCTCTTATCCTCCAACACACTGACCTGCCTTCCTCCCTTCCTACAAATTCCTCCTCAGTCTTTATACCTGCTCTCCTTTTGCTGCCTACATCTTAAATACTTGAATTCTCTACATTTCTATCTTTTCTCTTCTCTTAATAAATTAATAAATTAATTATAATAATAAATTAATAAAAACCATTAGTTTTCCAATGGTTTTTCTAGCTTAACACATTGCTTCAACAGCAGACACACAGAATGCTGGGTTTGGGACAAGTGGGCATATAGACACAGCTGGAAGAACAAGTCATTTGTTATTAGACTTTCTAGCATATAAGTTGGAGAAGGAAATGGCAACCCACTCCAGTACCCTTGCCTGGAAAATCCCATGAACGGAGGAGCCTGGTAGGCTACAGTCCATGGGGTTGCAAAGAGTCAGACATGACTGAGCAACTTCACTTCCTAGCATATAAGTACTGGGGAAAAAAAGCAACAGAAGAATGCTCTTCACTGTAGGTCTTCAAAATCCTATTCAGAAATAAGTTTAGTTTGGTCAGAGAGGATACATATTAAAGATACCAGAAAAAAAAAAAAGAGACAAGGTATGTTCCAGTATTTCTCAAAAGTAATTTTTCTACACTATTACTTTTGATCTGTGAATGAACAGAATTAATTTTGTTACTTTAGTATTCCAAGGTAATCCTAAAACAAAATTTAATAAGTATCTAAATCAAAAGGATAGCCTAAAGGAAGCAAATTCTTAGTCACAGTCAGAACTCTCCAGGATCTAAGTGGGTATTCTTGTGCTTGATACACTGCAGTATATGTTCTTTTAAAAAAAGGTAATCTTTGAGGACATTTCTTTAAGGAAAAAGGTCATTTTTATTTGTAAAATTTTAGTTGCTTTTACAAACACAAAATAAAATGACAGACGGCCTATGAACTTATATTTACTTTCAAATTCAAAACCCTGAGCACTAAGATGCTCTTGATACCATAAAGCCATTTAAAACTAATGTAGCTCTTCCATTAAAATATAAAATTTAAGAAAGATGAAAACAAGAAATTATACAAATGTGGACTAAAAATATAATCTAAATTGCCCTAATAACTCTTGTAGCTCTGTCTTTTTCATTTGATATTTTCACTCTAAAAAAATATGTGTTAGGAAAACATTCTATATAGCATGTGCAGAATGTTAAGGCTACCAAAAATAATGTGAGAAGAATAAGCTTCTTTCTCAAAAAACAAATATCCTCTATCCTCAAATATTCTCTAAGTGCTTTGTAGCAATAAATTTTTGTGTTTCTAGGTAGGAGTCCTTGCAGCCTGGGGAGAAGTCTTCTTAGAAGCTAACGTTAAAGGTCAGATTACCCTCTACCTCGCAGGACAGCACATCTCATCCTGTCTAATAGCCCTGTTCACTGTAGTTACTGTGGAAAGTCAAAACCTCCCTAGGAATATATTATCACCCCCACTGTCAAAGCCATAGTGACCTCAATATTTTCCATTTTGACCCACTGTGGAAAGTCAAAACCTCCCTAGGAATATATTATCACCCCCACTGTCAAAGCCATAGTGACCTCAATATTTTCCATTTTGACCCAGGGCACAATCTGTAGAATCCTATACTGTCAAGGACTCCTGCTCTGTGATTAGAAAACTCCTTATACTTTTTATCAGAACTTTCCATTTATCTTGTATCTTTAACAAAAAACCTGCTCGATCCCACTACTAACAACCTAGTAAGGCTAATAAATACTCCCTCTCTTCATAAAAAAATCTCTGCTCCTCTGGAGCTGAAGCAACCCTTAAACATCATCGGAAAGTCTTTCTGATTCTCTCTCCAAAGTCTGCCACAGATCTACCCGCTTCTCTTCATATTCCCTGCCACCCCTTTTGGAGCTTTGATTGTCTCTGGTTTAATCTAATTGGTGTCTTCTCTTCTACTCATGCTCCTTTCCACACCATTCCCCTTAAAGCAGCGAAAGAAACTGCCATTCTCCTGCATAAAACCATATACAGGCTTTCCTTTTCATTTAAAGGAAAATCCAAACTGCCCTCTAAGACCTAAAGAGTTTCTGTCTTGCCATCTTCTACCCAGCTAAATAAATTCTAGGAGTGTTTGTCTTTCATATCCTGAACATTCTCTCTTCCTGGGAGCTTACCCTCTCTTTCACATGGCAAGATCCATCTCTTCCATTAGGAATCAGCTAAATCTCATGCAGGTCTCATCCTTGCTATTCTCTGAGCTCTTAAAATAATTATTTATTTGTGTGTATATATATATTTTTTAAGATCTCCCCAACTACAACGGAAGCTCCATGAGGGTGAATATTGTTTCTCCTTGTTCACTATTTTATGTATTAATGGTGATAAAAAACCATGAAGTGAAAATATGCCACTAAAAGATTTTTTTTAATTGTTTCAAACTAGAATTAGATAGCATGAGTGAGTGAGTGAAAGTCGCTCGGTCGTGTCCTACTCTGCGACTCCATGGACTATATAGTCATGGAATTCTCTAGGCCAGAATACTGGAGTGCGGTGGGAGACCGGGGTTCAACCCCTGGGTTAGACAGCATGAAGCGATGCCAGCTACGGTGGGGAAGGAAAACTTAACACGTCTATCGTCAACTGATGAAACAAGGGAGGGATCAGAGCAGCACATAATGCAGTAAGAAGTGCTGGCCTAAAAGAAACGAGTGGGCAAGAAGATGTTTGGGTGGTGTGTGACGAGAATTAGACACACGGCTGGAACATCTGCTGTAACGAGATATGAGTAAATGTTACCAGATGCCTGATAAAGAAACAAAAAGGATGCATTTCAACATTTGTAATAAAACTGATATAGCACTTTGCAGATATGGCTCTTTAGTTCTGGCATAGCACTGGTCAAAGCATAAAATATTTGTTGATCAGGATAATTTCTGGAAGATAATTCCTTATAACCTAATAAACAAAATAATCATCTCATCTGCAGGCCATCTGCAGACATTCAAATTGCTTTATTATACAGAATCCTGCTTAAATGATTAATAATGTTCCTCATAATGGAATTTTACCAGCAGTCAGAGTCACTAATGCTGAAGGCTACAGATAGAGTAAGAAATTTTAAAAAAGTAAAAATATCTGGTTTAATTTTACAAAAATTTAATCACAGGCAAAGAATAATAGAACTTGAAAATAAAACCACTGTGGTCAAGTTGACAAAATAGAATATAAGTATATTAACTTTTCAGAGAAGAGCTACAAAATATGAAAGTAGGAGTAATTTAACTATAATAAACTAGACAAAAATCCCAAAGGATACTAACAAAAATCAAGAGTGAGAGACTGATAAGAAGTATAAGTGTATTCATTTCTCAACTTTCATCTATGTCAATAGACAGCATTAACTAGAAAGTTTATAAATAAAGAGACACAGATTTAAGCGTGTAATTCTTAAGCTTCAAAAATTAAACAAATGATGTTTAAAAAGGCAGGCTTTGCAGGCTTCCTCTATCACAAAAATAATTTTTAAAGAAAGCTAACATTGTCCACTAAAAAAGGAAAGAAAACTTAAAATTTTTAAATGATTCAGAATAAAAATAAGTGGCAAAATAAAAATAATAACATCTGTTACACAGTACATAAAAATATTACCTGTTAAATAAACATCTACAAGAAGGAAAATTATTATCAAGGGGGAAAAACTTCATTGTACACTATAATTAAGAAATATCAGTAAAGTAAAAAAACATGTAACAATAAAAAAAAATGGTAGGGAAATCCCTCCAGAAAAATATGAACAATAAAATTCAACAGTCATTATATTCAAATGATCTAAAACTGAATTTTAGACATAAAATATAAAACAAGGAAGGGCAAAATATGATGCCCAAGAATATCACTCACAATTAATATATAACCATTGTGATTCTTTTCATTCTAGAAATCAGTGCATCCAAACAAAAAGCAAAAATGAGGGAATGCAATTATAAATCAAAAGTGGTGGGAGAATTAAATACATTCACCTCTATCTATGATAGAAAGTGAAGTCGCTCAGTCGTGTCCGACTCTTTGTGACCCCATGGACTGTAGACTACCAGGCTCCTCTGTCCATGGGATTCTCCAGGCAAGAATACTGGAGTGGGTTGCCATTTCCTTCTCCAGGATCTTCCTTACCCAAGGATCGAACCCGGGTCTTCCACATTGTAGGCGGACGCTTTACCATCTGAGCTACCAGGGAAGCCCAGACTAAACCAAAAAAATAAATAATACAGAGTACCTGAATAAGAAATTTAGTAATTAATATGTTTGATTTATCATCATATATAAAACTCTACACACTATAGGTCTAGAAAATGTCTATTTTAGAAGAATATTTTTTTAAATTAGATAATATTGTGCTATAAAAATCTGCCTAAATTACTCAAAAATAGAAATAGGTCATGGTAATAACTCCACTATCTAGCTTCTTTCAATTAAAGAAAAGAAAATCAGAATTTTTAAAAGGAAAAAATCAAATCATTTCTACAAAATGCACAGGCCAAAAAAAATTTTTAATCTAAAAG